ATCATGAGCAAATTTAACGAAAAGAAATTCTGTCATTTAAAGTGGCTACTCTTTATATTTAATTTCTTATCTTCCTTGTCTATAATCATATGACATTGACTTTGAACTTTGAACAATTAAACAAATATTTTGTTTTCCCATACCGACTTACGGTTGTCGTCAAACAAAGACCGTTTCGAGAATATAGAGGGCCTCATTATTATAATTTGAACCAATATACATATGTACATAATAGTACTAGGTATAAATGAATTTTGATAAGTGTTCGTACAAGAATATGAACTTCGAATTATGTCGGAATTATGCGCAACACATAGGGCTGAAAATTTTATAATTGTTCTGGAACTATCTGACGGTAATTTAAAACAGGGAACAAGATTTCGTCAAATGAATCATTGAGCCAGGAATGCAACGATTTAAATGCTGACAAAATGAATAAACATATCTGGAACAGAGTAGACTGTTCATGTGGACAATTATATGCTACATTTGTACGTCTATTGCCAAAGAAGTTTATCACCCCATAAGAACAGACTTTTGGTTTATCAGATGGAAGTAGACAACTTGTCATAAAGAAAGGAAATAGTAAATTAAAGCCAGAAGAAATTTCAGTGTCACAGTGGATCTCCGCGAATGCAAGAATATTATCTCTACTCGAAGAAGGGCGTTTAGACTCCCAGGGACTGTGTGAATACCTTGAGTACACAGCCTGTATCGGCGACTATTTACAGTCCCACACCGTATCATCTGTAATGACATTTGACCATATTCACAGGAAAACACTGGCAGAACAAGGAAAACTTTGGTGTAAAATAGATTTCCATAGAGAATTCTACTATCTAGAAAAGCAGGACGTGGGACGGAAAAATGTAAAATCAGGCAAACAGAACTCACAGTTTGTTTAAGTTTCCAAAATTCACCACTGCAAATATATGCACGTATGTATTCAGTGCCACGGCCCTCACCCCCAGTTTCAGCATAACAATTCCCATCAGCGGTCGGAAAACTATCAGAGCCATCTTCATAACAGAGTCCCCTAGGTATCCAGCCCAACCTCCATAGTGAGCGTATCCATGTGTAGGACAATGAACTTCAGGGAGACTTAGATAGAAAATTCAATTTAGATGGCATTAAACATGGCTTCCGGGTTATAGATAGAAACGTTCAGCTTAAAGACGTGTATTGTAAAAAATTGAAATAGGCGCTTACTCCTGAAACTCACGATAAAGTTGAAAGTCGATTGAAGTGTTAAATGTTACAAGGAAACTATATTATTACCCATAAAAAGCCAACGATCGTCAGCAGTCTGGCAGCTATCCCAAAAGGCAATTCTGATTTGCGCGTTATACATGACTGTAGTAGACCGGAATCAGTGAATGATTACGTCACTAAGAACTCTGTTGTATACGACGCCATAGATAAGGCGACAGCCATGTTACCACCAACTGGATTTAAAGAACGTGTACAGAAGCGTACCCGTCCATCCAGATTCCTATCCCGCGCTAGGGCTTCAGTGGCAATTCTCCAGGGATGATCATGTAAGCTATATGTTCGACACCAAACTTCTGTTCAGCTCTTCCCGGAGCCCCGAGATCTTCCAACGCATATCGTCTAGCATTACCGGTATGATGAAACGTACGGGGTACGATGTGACTATTGTTTACCTGGATGACTTTGCTATCATTACTGCGAATAAAGGCCACTGTGAGGAGGTATTTGAATGCTTGCGCCGGCTTATTGAAGATTTAGGTTTTACGGTTAACTATGACAAATTCGTAGCACCAACCCCCAAAATGATATTTTGGGGTATACAATTAGATAGTGTTGCAAGAACATTAAGTCTCCCCGAAGGAAAACTTGTAGATCGGAAAGACTGTTTATATCAATTTGTAAAAGTGAAGAAAGTTACAGTTGCAGCAGTTGCTAGGAAAACTAAACTGGGCGTCTTGGACGGTTCATGGCGGGCGGACGTTTATGAGGAGACTTATTGATCTCTGCAATGCAGTGAAGCGGAAACATCATTTTGTGACTCTTAATGCGTTGGCGAAGGCAGATTTAAAATTGTGGTTAGATTTCTGTGAGCAGTTTAACGGAACTACCTTTGCTCTTAAAGGTGAAGTGGTTCCCTATCAGGAATTTGCCACTGATGCATGCGGCGAAGGCGTACTGGGTGGTGATTGGTTCTATGAGAATTGGAAGAGTGATCTCCCTGCTGTGAGCGATCAGCATATTAATATTAAAGAATTGGTAACTTTCGCGGGTAACTTTCGCGGGCGCCACGTCGTTGCTTATACGGACAATACCGTTACAATGTCCTGCATCAACAGGGGCACGTCAACAAATCCTGTGTTAATGAAGTCTACCGGGAACTGTTTTGGTTAGCCGCTGTACATGGTTTTAAGCTTACAGCTAGACACATTCCATGTGTGTGACAGGTTATCTGAATTACATGATCGACATAACTGGGTGTGGCTTGACAACTATACCAGGGATTCGCTATTACGTCATATGACAGTTAAATCATAGTTGTCTTACAGGACCAGTGGCAGCAGACCTCAAATATTTAGATTCTGAGATTACAATTTACATACAATCGGCCTATGCAGCGGGCCCAAGAAGACGTGTACGTCCATGTTAAAATCCTACATGCGATTTTGTTTGTATTACGGATTATCTCCCCTGCCTGCATCTACACTTAATGTGTTGAGATAAACCGCGTTTCCGGCGAGATCCCTCAACGCTACCAATATTCCTAATTATCTGAATATCATTCGCCTGGTGCACGTCGATGCAGGACGAGAGAACCCTCTGATTGGTCCCTGGGGATGATCAAGAGAGGTATTCACAGATTAAAAGGTGAACCACCAGCACAGAAGTTACCGATCACGCCTGCTATTCTTCTGAGGATACGCCAAAAATTAGACCTGACCCCAACGTTCAACATAGCTTTCTGGGCTGTCTGTATGGTGGGCTTCTTCACATTTTTAAGAAAATCGACTCTGCTGCCCTCCAATTTGAAAAGCTCTGACAAGCAGTTGTGTATTCGTGACGTCACATGGTATAGTGATAAAGTGCTCTTAACAATGAGACATAGCAAAACTATCCAGTTTGATCAAAGGATTCTGCAAATTCCCTTGTGTAACATGGCCGGCTCACTCTTGTGTCCAGTAACAGCTTTGCAATCTCTTCGGCAGGTCCAGAACACGATACCGGTGACATGCCATGTGTTCTCATTCTGGACAAAGGTCAGGTTAACTGGGTGAATCACGATATGTTTGTCAAGGCGTTGCGCCGTGTGGTAGCGGCGTTTGGGTTATCACCTCAAGATATCAGTGGACATTTGGCTGTACTTTTGCTTTGAATATCGGCATGCCATAAGTCCTGATAAAATTACATGGTGACTGGAAGTCAAACGCGTTTGAGCATTACATCACAATTTAATAGGACCTGCACCGTAAATTCGCACGAGCTTAAGTTGTAGCAGCTAGCTTAAAGTAAAAAATCAAACAAAAACAATCAAAGCAATATAGACTAGGATATGATTTGGAGGTATTTTAACATTGTTTTAACACATAAACAATTTATTGTCAATTAAATATTGACCTATTCCCAAAGCGTTTGTTTGTCTTTTCTTGATAAGAGTTAAGCGGTAAATAATGAATAAAGCTTTATTTAGGCTTAACTCTGTAAGCACAACGCAGCCGATCCGCTGCTCAGGTCACGATCCGCACGTGCTTCTGCTACCGCGAGGGCACTGTGCCGCACCCATGACGCTCAGTCTTCTCCCTGCAGGCGAGAAAGTAAGACTCCCACCCTCCCCCCAGGGCTCGTTGGTTTGTATTTATTGTTTCATGCTGTACATTTTAGGTCGGGGGGTATTTTTACATTGTTTTAAAACATAAACTATTTATTGTCAATTAAATATTGACCTATTCCCCAAAGCGTTTGTTTGTCTTTTTTTGATAAGAGTTAACACTCATTAGTGTTTTGAGTTAAATATTCTCATTGTTAATTGGTCGACTTAAATGACAGTCTATGTATCTTGTCAATTATATTGTCCATGTGTTGACTCTTTTTGTTACTGTTATGCTTGTCGTAAAAGGCGACTAACGGGATCGGGTGGTCAGGCTCGCTGACTTGGTTGATACATGCCATCGATCCCAAATGCGTGGATCAATGCTCCTGCTGTCAATCACTGGATTGTCTGGTTCAGACTCGATTATTTACAGACCGCCGTCATATAGCTGGATTATTGCTGAGTGCGGCGTTAAACAACAAACAAACAAACACATTTTGTTACTGTTATACACTTCCTTAGCTCATTAGCTTGTATATTTGTTCTGGTTAAATAGATCAGTGTTCGTTGGCAGTGTAAATTGGTTTTGTTTTTATCCTTATTATTGTCGTCTATCCTCACAACTAGCTAATAATAATAAACCTGTGAATCTAATACCGCGTGTGCATTATTACTTTATTACTTTATTCTTGTGTAATGGCGCCCTGATCTCTGGAGCACAGCTCCGTGACATTCACCTACAAAAACCTCTACACGTGAACATATGGTAAAAGTCAAAGTAGGATATCATAAAACACGCGAAGTTCATGCGTTCCAGGTGTTGATAACACGTTTCACATCAAACAAACAAGTCTACGAAGATTTCGAAGAGCTCCCCACGACTCTTGATCAAAGTTACAGAATTCATTCAGAAAGTTTTATGGTAGACATGCGGAAGACATTTCCATATTTGACGCATCAGTCACCTGGTATCATCACTATGATGATTCATAAACTCAATGACATGCTTTTGGTATAGGGTTCAAATGCTGCTGGACCCTTGAAGATTCCAGGGTAGAATAGGTCTCCAGCAACCCATCCTTGCTGAAAAAGGCGACTGCGCTTGTCATAAGAGGCGACTAACGGGATCGGGTGATCAGATTCGCTGACTTGGTTGATGCATGTCATCGCAACCCAATTTCGTAGATCGATATGTGATACTCACTTGGACATCGAGGCAAACCACAGCTTAATTCGCCCGTTTCCGAGAGGCTCTCTGTGCAGTCAGCTCCTCCATTATCTGGAGTCGGATTGGTGCAGGTTCGAGTCCTGGTTTTCATGATGGTGTGCGAGGTTCCACATGTCTGAGGGCAAGCTGGTACTGTCCACTGGCCCCAGGTGCTGACACCGCCGTCAACTGAAGACAATTTAAGGATAGATGTCGTAACGTCAATGCTATCATTATTATTAGTCACATGAATTTAAGACCCGTGACGTTCCGGGGTAGAATAGGTCTTGAGTAACTCATGCTTGCCGTAACAGCCGACTATGCTTGTCAAGACTCGATTATTTACAGACCGCCGTTATATAGCTGGACTTTTGCTGAGTGCGGCGTTAAACAACAAACAAACAAACAAACAAACACATGAATTAAATCACAATTTTAACAATTGATCTGCAATATAACTTATCACTTCATATTTTTGCTCAGTGTAAATTTAAGTAATTCTGTAATTCAGTTTGTTGCTTATTAATACAGGTTGGATGGGGAGACTAACGGGATCTGGTGGTCAGATTTGCTGACATGGTTGTTGCACGTCATCGTATTGCAGTTCCGTAGATCGATGCTCATGATGTCAATCACTGCATTGTCTGGTCCAGACGCTATTATTTTCATGGTTGGTTTGTTGTTTAACGCCGCACTCGACAATATTCCAGCTATATGACGGCGGGCTGTAAATAATCGAGTCTGGACCAGACAATCCAGTGATTGATATCATGAGCATCGATCCACGCAATTAGGATCGATGACATGCATCAACCAAGTCAGCGAGCCTGACCACCCGATCCCGTTAGTCGCCTTTTACGACAAGCATAGTCACCTTTGACGGCAAGCATGGGTTCCTGAAGACCTATTCTTCCCCGGAATCTTCACGGGTCTATTATATACAGACCGCCGTCATATAGCTGGAATATTGCTGAGTGCGGCGTTAAACAACAAACAAAACTGGTTAGAAAAATGGTCTTGAACGAAACTGTTTTGAATTAATGTAGTCAATGCGAAAAGCAGATTCCTCAAGACATCAGGTAAATACACCACTAATGCAGGAATGAAACTGAAGGTTTTCCTTTGCACTCATTACATTGGGGAATCTGCATCAGCCATTTTCTATCATAGTTTTGCATATGACAAACATTAGTGCATACAGAGCAATCTGCGTCTTTATGCAGGTGTCCTATCGAGGAATCCTACTAATGTCAGCGACCGCCTCCGTGGTCTAATGGTAGAGCGTCCGCCCGGAGAGCGGAAGGTCCGGGGTTCGATCCCCAGCCGCGTCACACCAAAAGACGTTAAAAGATGGTACTTGTTGTTACCCTGTCTGGCGCTCGGCATTAAGAGGCTAAAACAAGGACTGGTCGGCTCGGAGTCAGTATACTGTGTCTGAGTGGGGTATTCATGTTAAACTGCGGCATGGTATCTCAGTGAGCTAGCACTATAAATCGGCATCAGTCCGGACTAGTACAAGCAGCCACACACACACACATACACGTGCATGCACGTCGCTATATAAGTGCAATAATCTTGGACGCGACGTTAAACCCCATTTCACCTCACCTCACTACTAATGTCAGCATTGTCATTCCTGTTTTCCCATAACATTTCACTTTTCGTTTGTAGTGGGAAAGGGTTATCTCATGTGAATAGCTTCTGATATGATTCTATGTCCTGGCTTCTAATGTCAGATATGTGACAGCTAATTGTTTAGAATTAAATAAAATTGAATTTAAGAGTGTTTCCTTTACCTGGTGCACAAGTTGAATACATGTTGAATCCTGATTCACTGGCATATGTCATTGCTGCTGGTGTTGTGAGAGGCACGGTGTATGCCACACATTCTCTACTGGCCTCCTTGTATCCAAAGGACTTTATCACGCTGAAGAGGGAGCACCGCGCTGCACATTCGGCACGACTAGTCATATCAGTCTTTGTCCACAGAACACCCTCACTAACTCTCTTGTTCTGGAAATCTGGCAATGGTTTAACCTCGCATACACCACAAAAACTTTTTACAAGACCAAAACCGCCACAAGCTATCATCAAAATCAATCGTATGGTCATGATTGAAAACAGTCTCCTTTCTTCCCAAACGTCATTTGGCAGTGGCAACAAGCATGGCATTCTGGTGACTAGTTATAACAGAGTAGCAAATCGATATGTTTTGTCTTTTTGTGATTTATAGCCATAGAACTGACACTTCAGGAATAACAAGCAATTATACTTGTTATGACTGTATAGAGAAATAATACCAAAACAATACAATTCAAGGTATGATAACATGCAATCAATCAAATCACAAAGCATGACATTGGTCACCAGATCCTCTTACACCAGCCTGACTATTAACTGCCAACGCCATAGAATTGAAATCCCAATCTGACGGAATACATTTCATTGGCGTAAAAGGCAAATTAGCTGTGAAGATTCTATGAATGAATCATTGCAAATCGGTGATGACACCAGGTGTTTGCGATGGGGTACGCATGCCTACCCTACCGGTAGCACACTGAACTTCCTACTTCATTTAGCTTGATGGTATTAACACTATTCATGCACAAAACGTGTTCTTTAACTTAAACTAAGACCCGTGAAGATTCCGGGGTAGAATAAATCTTCAGCAACCCATGCTTGCCTTAAAAGGTCACTATGCTTGTCGTAAAAGGCGACTAACGGGATCGGGTGGTCAGGCTCGCTGACTTGGTTGATGCATGTCATCGATCCCACTTGCGGTGATCGATGCACATGATATTAATCACTGGATTTTCTGGTCCAGACTCGATTATTTACAGACCGCCGTCATATAGCTGGAATATTGCTGAGTGCGGCGTTAAACAACAAACCAAACCAAACCAAACTTAAGCTTAAAACGCTAACCTTTTCGCTAACGTCTGATATCACCACTATTTGAAATTCTAAACAAACGCTTATAACATAGTCGGAATCGTACACTGCACTCTGCTTTTAGGAGAGATTTCTTATGATTATGGAAATGGTTTTGTCGCTGTTATTAATGACACATATGGTACTACAGGTTTGAAAAGGGAAGGCAGTGGAGAAATGTTAAAGGGGTATTACCCTCGGACCAATTAGCATTTCCATCAAGTATGAATCACGGTTGGCCCAGCAGAGTTGTCTCCCATGGGGACGCCAGAAATATATGATTCCTAGGTTCGAATCACGGTTTGCTCAGATTATGTTTCTAGGTTTGTGAGCACTATACCCATGCTCGTTGGTAAACGTCTAAACCTGTATGACTTCGGGCTTTCCTCCCACCCATACTTAGCTGACCCACCGTGATTATACTGGAATTTTGGGCGAAACTGCATTATCATTGGTTCGAGTGTCGAAGGGAGCTAACTCTACATATACTTTGGAACTATGCTGTTTAGTTACGTATCCGAGAAAAACATGGCTATGAGAAAGCGAAACCTGTTCCTTTCGTCACTCGGTTCATAATTGCTACACAGGTTATTCTATTAAGTGAAACACGTCAATCAATACAAACAACACTAGTTTGCTTTACGATTGTTAGAGATGTTTGTCAACACTACTGAATTGTGGACCACTTACTAGCTGGGTCGAAGATATGGGCCCACATTTCAGAGGAAGTACTTCCTTACAAATCTCATTAAAACCAGACTGAGGACATCTCTTTACGGGTCATGTCAGATCGATCTTATGCGAACTTTGAACGGCCAATGGAACGACTGACAATAATTCGACATTAGCCAATCAGAGGGCAGCTTTCTCTTGTGCTTTACGGCTCTAGTTTCAAACTGGCGACTACGCGACGAAGCATATTTTGACAAATTCTCGATTGAAAATTTTAAAACTGAAAAAAGACTTTTCTGGAATGGCTGATTATCTAATTGACTGTCGATATATCTAAAGCAGTACGACAAATGATATCACCAAGAAAACAATGCCAAGTTCATTCATGTAACTTCAGTAGTTACTGAGAAAACTATGCACACAGTAGAATAACATGGGTCAAGGGACGTAACTGTGTTTAACAAATATTTTCCAACTCAAGCTGCTTTCCGACACATACCCATTCTGTGCGGGTCTGATATCGGCCTGACTCGCCCAGTTGGCTTCAAAATGGCGAGTCGACGGATTTCGGTCAATATTATTTCATAGCAATAAGGAATTGGGAGATATGTATTGGAATCGATAGAATTGTCACCCGACACAAGGTATGAAGATATGAAGTTTTTTGTGCCTGATTTGCGATGTTACTTTAGAACAGCGACGCAAGGCGAGCCACCGGTGATGTAGGGAGTGTCTGGCCTTGTGTAAATATATAATAGGACAGTGAATTTCTGACACTCGTCATATTAATTGATCTAGAAATATTTAAACAACGACACAAGGGCCTGTGGGTTTGGCTCGATGATTTCGATGACTGTATCGTCGTGCCCCGTCGTTGTGTGACGTTTCTCATGATATCAAACACTGCTTGTTTTAGGAGTCAATTATGTACATGCCGACGTGATACAGGATGAATAATAGTAACTGGGGCATGACATAAAAATCAATTAATTGAGGATAACTGAAGCGCAGTTAAAATCACGAATATTCCATTGGATATTGTTCTTTATGGTCCCAAATGACAGTAGTGAATGAGTATGGTTTTACGCCGCTTTTAGTTAGTTTTGTTGTTTGTTGTTGAATGCTGCACTCAGCAATATTCCAGCTATATGATGGCGGTCTGTAAATAATCCAGTCTGGACCAGACAATCCGGTGATTGACATCATAAACATCGATCCACGCAATTGGGATCGATGACAGGCATCAACCAAGTCAGCGAGCCTGACCACCCGAACCCGTTAGTCGCCTTTTACGACAAGCATAGTTGCCTTTTGAGACAAGCATGGGTTGCTGAAGACCTATTCTACCCCGGATCTTCATTGGTCACGCCGCTTTTAGCAAAATGCCGGTTTTTACGTTTTACGTTACGTAGTTAGTGTTAAAACTGAATGTTTGCGAGGATTAATAAGATTTCTAAATTCAGTTACAACAGTAACCGTACATGTATTTGTTACATTAAGTCATTTCATTCAAATTTGTTTGGTATGATATATGTCTTATAATTATTCTAGGATGGAAGGTACAGTTACCAAATAAAATATGCTGAAATTATGTATTGATATCAATTCATTATGACCATATTTCATAATCTATTTTTTAAAGTAACCCTCCTTACATTAAATATATCTATTTAAAGAATATAGTACTTAAAGACATTGCAACAAACCGAATAATCAGGGGGGAGACTTTATACTGAGGGGGGCGCGAAATATATCCGCCCGGGGGAGATTTTATTTCAGAACATATTCTCCGGGGAAGAATCTGTACCGGTATAAAATCTCCGGGGGGAGAATTTGTACGGGGGAGAGTTTATACCGGGACAACGCCAATATCGCGACGGGGGACACCAGAAATGGGCTTCGTACATTGTGACTACCGAGACGGCACGTTTCTATATCCCCTGGTCATTTAGCCTATGGGTCTAAACATGGGAATACAAAATGTTTTTAAGCCAATTGGCTTTAATTCGGTTGGAAAATCTCCCTTACCGGATTTGCTTCAAATCCTCGTTAATTCTCTATGTCATATTCTTTCGAAAACTTAAAATTTAAACTATGTCACCCATGGTCGAACTCTATTTTCCTCTGCTCAAAACTCATGTTTTTCTTTGGCAAATACATAAAGGTTTGTCTACATGTATCCTGACACATGATTCAACTCATTTTACCTTAATTCAACTAATTTGTAGCGTTATTAAAATATATCGCCCATGGGCAAGCCCATCAGGAATATCAGTCCTACATTTTGAATACATTGTAAATTAATATACGTAATCATAACTTTTTGACCTGTCAAATCAGTCCAATGAAGACCACACACTGAATAATTAAAAGTAAAATGTTTGTTAACAGAAACAAAATTACATTACATGTATCTTGAAATTAATGAGTTCTAGTAACACTCAGAAAATAATCCTGAAGATATTGTTGTGTAAATGGTAATAAAATATATATGGCAATTTACATGTAGATAAGAAAAAAAAGGATTGAATGAAGCTACGGTGAAATGAATGACGCTGGTTTCATTTGACAGGAAAGTAGTTTCGATTCGCTTGTGGGTCAAGGTCGTTGTTAATATAAACAGTAGAGCGTAGTTTGCGGACCATGGCCCAGTTACCACTATTCTTTAAAAATTGATTGCCGCAAATTGATTAATATCGCTAAAAAATATATACATAATGTATCTTTATTGTTAAATGAGGGATCTATTGTACGTCTTACCGGAGAAAGCTGTACATTGATGGCATGGTATCCCTTGCGGCATATGTAGGCCGCTTCGTCGTTTGGTGATGGTCGTTTTATGAGAATAAGTGAGAGAGCATTATTTCAGCCATTTAGCGACGAGACAAAGTTTAATATGTTAACAATTGAGTCATTTAAGCAAAGAAATATTTAAAATTAATTCATCCATACCATATTTAAAGACAATTTATGAAACACATTTGAGCATAACAATATAATACAGTTTTATAACACGGGCCACCAGCAACCAAAGCTAGGCCACCTTGCTTGGGGATCATGGGGACTTACAGTACCCCTGCTTCCTGCATGATATCCAAGCAGGATTTACGTTATCACTTTAGCCACTGGTGGTTGTGAACAATACTAGCCAATATTAAAAAATTGTCAGCAATGAGTTGGCTTAAAAACACTGGTTGATGATAGTAACAGTCGATTACGTGTCACACAGGGGGACAATATTTTTACGCTACGTTAACCTCCTGGCAGAGCTTTCAATAACGTCAGTTGATAATAGCATCACACCAAATTTAAGAACAAACATTTAATTATTCACATACATATTTAAAATTTATTATACAGACCGATTTCTTTCAAATAGCTGATAATGAGATGCCCGCTGACACGGGAAAAGAGATCTTTCAGATTTTCGCTTTCATAATGTGAATCCCTTGCGATTTCAAAGTCCACACAGTCAAGTAATATATGCTTGACGGTGAACCTTTCATCACAAAGGATACATTTAGGAGGTTCGTCCCCATCTGTCTTAAGCAGATATTTAAGCAGATGGCATGCATCAACCAAGTCAGCGAGCCTGTCCACCCGATCCCGTTAGTCGCCTTTTACGACAAGCATATTCACCTTTTACGGCAAGCATGGGTTGCTGAAGACCTATTCTACCTCGGAATCTTACGGGACCAGTCAAGGATAAT